GTCACAGATACCACTGAGATTCTTTACATAATCAGAAGTGATAGAAACACTTTGCACACAGGTCAGAATTATAACCCTGAGTTTCTAAAAGGCAGTATTTTGTTGCACTCTTAGAAATAATAATTAAAAAAAAAAATCAATTTATTTCCTCGTAACAGAAATATATAATAAAATGCAAGAAATTAAAATATTAAAATGGTTTCTTATAGAAATATAGAGATCCTGCTTCCTTTATCACCAAAATTTTTCAGTGGTTTTTGCCTCTAAGCAACTGCAAATATTTAATTCAACACTCCATTTATACAGTGTATGTATATGTGTGTATACTTGCATTTCAATATTGTCAATACGCAACCAGGATGCAATATTTCCATGTTACATTTCAGTAGAAAAATCACTTTTCATTGCTAGCTTTGTAGTCAGAAGTAGCTGCTCATCACTGCTTTGGGGCATGGGCTCATTTCCATAGTTTACTTCAACTAAACGTATACCAAAATAAGTCATTTGTTGGGAGAGGAGGGGGTTCCTTCTTCCAGCTCTACAGCGCACACAAATGATGGAAGATGCAGGCAGCGTAGAGTAACACCAACTAGGAATTTCAGTTATGCACCAATTTCATTCCACCGCAAGCAAGTGGAATACAGTGATGGGTCCATGTTTTCACATTATTTTGATGGGTAGGGAAAAAGAAACTGTTTTCCCACAGACGCTGAAGTCCCTTCTCTAATATAGGCTTGTATGGTATTTGCAGTCAAGGAAAGACAATAAAGCCCACGTTTACCACATTATATGATACTAGGCCCTCTGGTGTATCAGTTTCTCAGTAAATCAAGGCTTACTGGATTCTTTTCTCTCTGCTTCAAGTCCCAGGCTTGACCTGCCATGAACTCAAAGGAACCAAATCGGCATCAACAGTTGAAGAAACAACCACTTTCAGGAAGAGTTCCTTTGAGTTACACTAGGTTGGAAGAATAAATGGCCATATTAATCATACGGTTCCAAGTCCTTGGAAATTAGTGGCTCAGTATCTTCAGCTGTACTTTGTGCGGATTGCGGGGCTGCAGCTGCCAGGCTGTGTATAGTCTCTTGCTGATGCTGCTTTGCCTTGTTATACAGTAGAACTCCAATTGTCACTAGAACAGTCCCAATGGCCGAGAGGCTTGTGATTTTGTTACCAAACACAATAATACTTAGCCAGATTGACAGCGCATGCTTCACAGTACTAGCAACACTGAAAAGGAATATAAAAACACACACAACCATGCTTTAACATAGCAGGACCTCTCTTTGTTTTGCTTTTAAACACCAAGTCAGATTCCACTTTTCCTCCTGAAGCTAATACCATAACCAAATTGCTTGCGTATCAGCACTCGGTATCTTTATACTCATCTTAATTTTAGAGCTAGTACGAGTAAGTGACCTCAGGTTTTTGTTTTCATTGCTTTTAAGTATGCAGTACAGCATTAGCAATTCATTTCTAGCTAACACAGACATCTAGAAAATGCTAACAGACCACTAGCAACATAACTATCATTTGTGAGTCCGCTGCTACTGTTCAGGTAATAATACAGTGTTATAACCTGGAAAGAATCAATATCTAAATCATACCTCATAACAAGTAGTTAAGAAATTTTGTATACATGTAAATACGAACATATGCTTTTACATCCTGTTATGTAGAAAAGACTAACTTCAGAATAAGCATGTGTGTAAGAGTCAATTGTCACAAGACTGTAGCACGGGCACCTGAAAGTCTAAGACAGCAGAAGCTGTAAGAGTTTAGGACCAGGATTACCCCACAGGCGCGGGGGCTATTCATACAAATGACCAATTATTGAATTAGAATTGCGTAACAGCCTAACAAAGCTGACGATAACTGACAACGTAGGTGGAAGCTGTCTTTAGAGAACACATATAATTCAACAAATACAGCTTGACATGCTGGTGTCACGCTTCAGAAAAAAGGAATACAGAGCTGACTGCTCATACTCTGTCCTGCACCGAGATTACGTAGGTATTGCCTTACTGCTGAAGCAAATGGCAGCTTCAACAGTGGATCTAGGGTTTTGGTGAATCTCTTTAGTCTCATTAACCAGCATTAGGAATGGCTGTTAAACCTGAATACAATACCACTCCTAGTAAATGTGAGCACTTGTTCTATAAGCTCAACAGCATGGGTCAAATGCTGCTCTCCTCACACAGTGCGGGAGAAAACCACAAAGTTTTGGTGATCTAGACGTGAAAAGTTTTCTTCTCAATTTGATGCATTTACACATCTACATTATTTATGTCTTTGCACAATACCTTTACTACCTAGTTCTCAAGCAGAAACGCTGAGCAAGAAAAAAAGAAAATAGTGTTCTTGACATGAAAATACAGTTTTACCTGAAAGTCACAGGAGAAATTTTTCCCATCAAGGCATAGGCTGTAACACTTTGTAGGTGGAACAAGACTCCATCTATTAAGAGAAGTATGACGACATCTTGGTTGTAGCTGAAGCTCCTCCCACTTTTCCCAATCACAGGCACATCCTAAACAACAAAAAAAGAGGACTTGAAGAGCGTATAAGCAAATCTAAAAGTGATTTGCCACCCAACTCATTCTTATTATAAGCAGATATAGTTTCACATTTAAACTTCAGCAAAACAAAACCTAAAATATACAGGACATTTAGATCCTACAATTTTTCCCCCCAAAAGAATGTATTAGAAAAACAGCTCTCATCTGACTGAACTTTCCAGTGTGTTCAGCCTGCGAGATATTTTCTTTTCTGAACACTGATGCATGGCAATGAAATGCCAGAATATAAAGAATATATATTTAACCTGATACATCACACTTACTTCAGCCCAATTTTGCTTTCAGACAGTTAATATTCCTGCATCCCATGTGAGTATCGGCAAAAAGTCAACAAAAATTTAAGATTTGGTTTTCAAGTCTTTATCTAAAACTTTAAATGCATTTAGACAAAAACATGATTTGATCGCAAAAATCCTGAAATCAACTCAGGCTTTCTGGGTCACTTGTCAACTCATGTCTATATTAAATTATTTCTTTGAAAAATTTCTCTTTTTTACCTCCCCCCAGTCTCTTCCAAACATAAGATGAAATGCATTTCAGGGTGATTTAAAAAAAAACTGGGAAGAATGAAAAGATTAACCTTAGTTGCACATTCTGCTCACAAGTCAAAAAGAAAACGTAAATCACTGTTAGTGAATTCAAATTACCATGAAAAATATCCAAGCTGGAATAAGCATAACCACTGCAGCAGCACTTGTATAGAACTGAAGCTCTGGGGCTCTACAAAGGAGAAAAAACAATCATTAAAATGATTAAAAGCTTCCTCTTCCTTAGAGCTGAAGAAAGCTGCATCATTATTGTATTTACAGATATCAAAAAGTAATAAAAGCCATCTACCAAGCTCTGGGGACAACAAATTCAGCAATCTCCTGCAAAGATAGCGTTTTGCTTTTTGTGTTGTCCGAGATAGACGGAAGATAAAAGGTACGAGTTTTCAAGACCAAAACTAGCATTATATCTTGTGGTAAAATACATACATATAGCTATACATATATATACAGGTATACTTTACCACAAGATTTTGCTCCTGGCTCGTGTTTTGCAGTTACAACATCGAGTGAGTTCTGCACGCCTAATAACATTAAGGGATGTTTTACGATTGCAGAATAAGGACTTATTTCTGCATACGCTGAGAGTTTTAGCCGATTATGAGACTCTGACCGACTGCAGTGGGATCTGAGCACACAGGAGTTTTCTTTCCCTGATAAAATTATTTAGGTTAGAGCTGTCTGTGAACCATCAGAGAACAAAATATCTTGGTGCAATATAATCACATAGTTTCCTTATGTAGCCCAAAGTCCATCTATAATCAAACCTGAAATATTTTTAATACTTACGAAAATCTGTATTTATCTCCACTGAGTAGTTTCTTGGAAAAGACATTTTGCAAACTGGAAAAAGAAAAAAAACAAACCACAACACCATTTATCTGTATTTTACTTATGACAAATAAATCAATCCATGAGAAAGACAGTTGTTTCCCTTCGATGGGTAGATACCTTTTCTAAACATTTCACATTCTACACATTATGGAACTACAGAAAGGAGTTTAGTTTAACTCCTTCAGACTAACAGAGTTGTACTATTTTTTAATCTCATGAATGCTAGCAGATATGATAGAGAAACAACTACAGGCAACAATTTTCTTCAATGTACCAATAAATAAAATTCTTTTATTCCACATATGCAACTACCGTTATGCCTTACCAGTCCATGATATTAGTAGATAAAGCTGCCGAGAAACCCAGAATGTTGAAACTGATTTCAGTAGCTGTACACAGAGCTAGCCCACCCATAACAGGAATGAGAGAGAGATTAACCAGCAATCCTGCAAATGAAAAGAAAAATTTACATCTGAGTTTAATTACTGTACTTCCAATCACATGTATCAGATAATACAGTTTTTGAAAGTTTAACTTCCACCTTCACTTCTTTAGTTGAAAGAAAGAGCAACTTATTTGAATGGATTTTGAGGTACGAGATCTCAGCCAATAGCAGGGTGCTCTTGAAAACACCACAGACATATACTCATTGATAAAAGTATCTCCCTTGGAGAAGGAAAATGGACTGACGACTGTCTTCGTTTCATCTTTCTCACCAAATGACAGAAGAAAATGACACTCTTCCCCGTTTACTCTGAGATTGAATTACTCTTCTTCCTCTGGCTTATTTCAGCCTTTTGCCATTTTGCATGACAAAGCAATCTACACATGGCTTCTGTATTACTCCTATGACTTACAGCTGGTAACAAGTAAAATCCTTCAAGCAAATAGCATGCAATTGCAAGTGGAATCACAAAGAAATTATATTGTGGACTGGAAGAAATTCTATTGTTGTAACCAGTTGTTTGGGGTTTTGTTGTTTTGGGTTTGTTGTTTTTTTTAAAATCACAGAGTGAACACAGTGAAGAAATTCAAGAATTTTAAATTCTGAGCAGCAAGCTGTCCTTATAAGGAGGAACACACTGAACTTCAGTTACTTAAGGCTGCAATAATATTTTCTTGACAGAAAAATAACTTCAGAGCTACAATGCCCTTACACAGCTGCATTAAAATAAATCCTTTTTTACTTTATATATACTCTACTTATTGCATTCAAACAGAATGATTCTTCCAGCTGCTTTTACTGTATTTCAGTGGAATCACCTCATCCATGGCCAACTAAGTGACAGTACTATTTAAAAAAAAAAAAAATATATATTGGGGGGGGAGAAATCACATTTCAACACTGAAGTACTTACCAGTGTATTCTCCTAATATCATCCGAGACATGATAACAGTAAAAATAGGTGCAGAGCTTTTAACAGTTTCTGCAAATGAAACTGCCACGTTTTTCAAGCTGACAAGACCCAAGACTACTGTTGCAAATCTGTAATAGAAGAACACATGAAATTAAACAGAAAATAAAATAATGCTTTAAAAGCTACCCCTAGACATCTAGCATAAAAAAGAATTGCATTATAATTTCTCTAGGTTTATAAATTTGAGCTGCAGTAACTAAGAATAGGGACAGGTGTAGGTGGCAATGAAGTTATCAATTCACAGTAGCGTGATGGAACTGCAGTAACTGATCGGTTGCACACCTTTACTCCACAGCACCTGCAAGGTGCATTGTGTCACATCTGTTTCTTTCTGCTTTGGCTTAAACATTGTTATTTATTTAGCACAAATGAAGGCACCCTGGGGCAACTGTGCCATTTCTATGGAGGTACAGTGGACTTCCAAAAAACATCAAAGTTTACTTCTTAATGCACTCTAACCAAGCTTCAGATGACTGTTTTAAGCTAAAGTTTTTAATAGGCTCAGTTGACAAAGTTAGTACAATCCCGCTGATAAACAGTAATTCACCAAGGAAATGTTATCATTTGCAGTTATCCATCTTTAGTGTAAATTAGATACACTACATATTTACCATACTTTAAACCATGAAATTAAACAACAGGGTGGCAGAGTTATTACAATAAAGCTACTCTGAATTAATCTGAATCCTGTTATCTTTATCACTTCTGCAGCGTAGGGGAAACCAAATCATATATTCTTATTCTCTCCTTGACCACAAACTGATACTAATCCAGCACACAACAAATACTTTTTAAAAGATAAATGTTAATAGCCTGTATCACTTTTGAGGCAAATTGCTGGCAAAGGTGAGGGAACAAAGCAACATGATAAATACTAGAACACTAAACAAGCATCAGCCTCAAAAGAGAACAGGAAGTATAAATGGAGAGAGAAGTATGTCCTGAAAGAAGCTAAATGTGATGGGAAGCCAAGTTAGCCAAAAAACTGACATCTGGAAAAAGGAGCATAGCATTTAGCAATAGGAACTAAAAATAAAATTATCCTGTGGGTTTTTTTTGGGGGAAAGGTGAATACTCCAAACACTTTGCAATCAAGAATGAAAAGGAAGAGAGCCATGAAAATCCAGCTTCCGTTCAGAAGAACGCAACGAAGCAACCAGATAGATCTCTAGGAAATATTTAACCATTTACCTCATTAATCCAACAAACAGCATTATCATGATGAAATTGGGTGGATAAGAGATGCGTGTTTTGTGTTGATACAAGCAACATGGAACAAACATTTTTATACAGCCAATGAAGGTGGTTGAAAGCATTTGAACAGCACCTAAAGAAAGATGAGAGGAAAAAAATAAAATCAGAAGATGATGGGAACATGACAAACCAAGCAACATAAGAAAATTTCTTAGACAAACTTATGTGTAGTACTTTTAGCAGTTAAGAGACATGGCAATTACTGTCTAGATTTTATGAATTCTCACAAAAGCCCTTTACATCTACATCTACCAGCAAGGCAGCAGAATAGAATAAAACAAAGGTGGCATACACCTATAAAATCTGGCTCACAGATGAAATGCCCTTTGTTTCTGCCTTAAAAAAAAAAAAGGAACAAGCAGCCCATTAGATAATAGAGGTCACACAAAGGCAACTTTTGCACTTCTACAGACAAACAAGATTAACAGCTCTGAACACTATCAACTGACTCAACTTTTTTTTTTTTAAAAAAACCCACACTACCCTCCAACACAGAGAACAAAAAATTACATTTTTCTTTCCAGCTCTTCGTTCTCAAATACCATCTTACAGCTCCTCTGTGAGCAAAGTTTTGTACCATCCTTCAGCACGTGGAGGAAAGGACAGTGTCAGAAGCCTCTTTACAGGCCGAGAGCACAACTCGTGAGGTCCCAGCCCCATGATCCACCCCCACATCTCCTAACTAGGTCTTTGTCACTTCAGTTGAACCATTTTGTCCCTCAACCTTTATATAGGAAGATCTGGTATTGTCAAATATCCTACTGGAATTAAAGTGTAAAAGAAAGGTAGGGTTACCTAGCATGCTGGGCTCTCCTTCCAGTAATGAAAGAATGTATTTGTTAAGAAAAAGAGTGCAAAAGCTGAAGAAAAACCACAAAGTGAGGTAGATGAGAGCATGAGAATTCCAGATGCCCAAGTCCGACTCAATGACTGTAGTCTCTGTGATAGTTATTTTCAGAACGTTCTCCTCTGGTACACTATCACTCCTAGCAATTACAAATTTTTCACTCCTGTTAGCAAAGAGCAAACCCAAATGAAACAGTGATTTTCCCTTTGGCTTTTCTTCAAGGGGGGGAGTATTAGGTTCCTCCGGTGTCTGAGCACTTGTCACAGTCGACATGCTGACATTAAGAAATTAATGTTTGTCCTTAATACAAACCAACATTGACTTAGCACAGAACAGCACTTCGACGGAACAAAAATATCATGCGATTAGTCTTTCATATCCCATGGCCTGAAAAAGCGTACTTGGTCCTCCAAATAACATCTTGCATAAAAATGAACTTCACATGCTTCTTCATGTAGTCTATTGCAGTTTTTCTGCCTAAGAATGGAAAAAAAAAAGAAAAAGAAGGAAAAAAGCATGTAGCTCTGAACACAAAGACATTTTAAATCCCTAACGCAGCAAAGATACCACATTTCACCTGCAGTTTATGAAAGATAAAAAGACTTCTGCAGTTTGTCTTTCAAACTGGATTTTGCACTCCTAATATCATGATACCAAGATTAAGCACTAAGAACTTATCGAAGGGAGATTTTTTTTTTATTATCCTAAAATAGCACGCACACACACACAAAAGACTTCATGCATTTTTAAGTTCTTTCTCTTCTAAAGCACGTCAACACAACCTTTTCCATTATAATTAACTCCTCTTCAAGATTCTACAGTTTCTTTGATCTCAGCCTGAGGTCTCCTTATAACCACTCACCAGAAAAATCTTCACAACCCAGAAAATCTGGGCAGGAGCCTGTAGCCTTAGTACTAATTAACCTGTTATCATCTCGAGTCAAAGTGAGCAATCTATAATCAAGGACTATGACTTCCAGTAATCACAAACACAGTTATCCTGGTAACTATGAGATCTAGGTGAACAACGTAGGAAAATATGTCCAAGAGCTTTCCAAACAGACTTGTTCTCTATTTAATTACTTGTAAATAATGCAACATGACTTATTTTGCCACTGCAGTACTGTTATAGCTTGCAATTCACTATTAGTACTTGCAATAATCTTAAAAGTCTTTTTAAAAGATCTGACAGAAAAAGGCATTAAATTGTTTGCAACTAGAGCTTTCTCCTTTTACAAGTTACATGAAATGTGGCAAGTTACAGTAGAGGAGTACAGAGAATAGCAAAAACACGCTGTGACCTTTATTCTTCTCATGCCACGTAATGTTAGCACCACAACGCTAACAGATTCAAAGTCTGTATCAAGAAAGAAATTGCACCTGAGCAGGTTATCTGCAATGTTAAAACACACTATCTGATTTATTGCTATCTATTTTGCAGTCTGTGTTTTACAAGTGGAAAAAAAAAAAGGATTAAACAGATGAGAATGAGATAATGGACGAGACCTCCTTTGCTCCTCAACAAACAAACAACAGGGGAAATTAAATTGGAAATACTTTTCTCCAGAAGGACATGTGCTAGACAGACAAGATGGTGGACCTTACACAGTTAAAAAGTAATTCTTCGCAGGGAAGTCAATCACTGGACATTTTGGAAAACCTGTCTGAAATGAGATCGTAAGACTACAGTGCATCAAACAATGGCAGCACAAGAAATAATCAATGGCAAGCAAAAATACAAGAGATGTAACAAGAGCTACTGCACCCGCCCCGATTTTGTTAGCATGTGAACAGGTGAATAGGAGACTATTTTCTTTATGCCTTTCTCATGTCCAGTGTGGCATCTCAAAATAAATCCTAAAGAGGTACTAAAGAGTTAATATATCCTGTCAGTTCCCATATCCTAAGCAGCAGCTACTTTACACTGAAATTTTCCACTCCTCTTGTTCTCTATTTCTGTTCTTACAGCCACGCAGAGAAGGTTTCCATCCCTATCCCCTTATCTCTTTCCATTTTACCAGGAAATCATGCTAGCAGCACACTGGGGTACAAGAGCCTCCGACACACTCGCGTTAAACCACGTACTTGTGTTAACCCCGTTTAAGACAAAACTAGCCAATTTGAAGGAAGATATGCATTCCTTAAGAGAACCTGTTAAGAAAAATGGATTCTTAAGACGACTCCTTTTTCAGGTCTTAAAAAAAACCCAACCCTTCTACATTCAAAACAGTTAGTTATCACAACTTTGTTAATACTTCTTCTACTATTCATTAAAACCAAAAGCGATTAAGCACAACGAAACTCCCACCCTCAGCAGCACCGCGGTATCATCTTTGATATCACTGATTCCACACATGGCAAGAAGCAGAACAGCAAATAAGAACAAAATATCTCCCCTAAATTACTGACCTGCTGTCTTAAATCAACTGGAAAGCCTTAAATGGGCTGAAAGAGTTCTCCATCTGGAACTAATTCAGTCTTCCTCCCTTAAGGCCAACCCACAGCTAATGTTTACCAATAGATGAAAACGTGGCAGTGGTTGGTAGCCTGTTTCTCTTGGATTACACACAAACGTTCAATCTTCCAGCTCACAAGAATAAATAGCATGCAGCGCATTTTACACTCTTCCTCGTATCTTCTCCAACTTTGAACTACGTTGGCAATAAAAATGTTGTATTAAAGGTGGAAAAAAATACGAAGTATAAGCTTTGAGAGTCTCAAACAAATTCTGACTTAGAAAAAGCAGCTAATTACCAATTCAACGACTCCCCAATTTCTTAGGCTTTAAGACATCGTAAGAGTACCTGCATTCGAACTCCTTTTCCCTTTCTACTCAGAGCACTTCCAAATTTAAGCAGAAATGCTTTCATTTCAAACTTAAAACAGGAGCAAAGAAAAACCTTTTCTCAGAAGACTTTTAAGACTGAAGAAAATAAATGAAGACATTATCTGCTTCTGCTGTTAAGCATCTGGTTTTAATAAAAAAATATTACTCTGCCCTCAGTTTTTAACAGAGTAGTCACACTTGGTTCGATTACTAAATCGCTTACACTATTTTCTATTGTGTGCAAGTGGCCTCCATGGGAATAAATCTCGTTTTGCTGCCAGGCAGCTTGCAGGAATATATAGAAATGACAGCTATCTGTACAGTGCTTTTGTGGAAAAGGTGTCACAGTTAACAAACATTTTGAATTAGCACCAGCGCACAGCTTCTGAAAAAAACCAGCACCCCCTTCGCTCACTCCAACTACAACAAATGCTTTTATGGACACGCGATAGATCAAAACAGGGAAACTGTTCCCCCCTGGAATTTAAGGCTGCAGGGAAAAGGTCACTCTTAATCCACACCAGGAGTAGTATGGATTAAGAGTAGATGATGCGTACAGGTCATCTACACTTAATTCACACCAGTACGGTTTAACCTCATCGCTGTAAAAGCGGTATGTCTACATGGATTGTTTTCTACAGGTGTCAGAAGACAAGAAACACTAAGTTTTGCAAATAATAAAATGCAGAAGCAACACAAGTTAACAAGAACACACACCCCACATCTTTGCTTTAGTTCTTTCATAAGTTATTATGAATATATTTCTCTAATATATTCTTTCATAAAAAATATTTTCCAAAGAAACTATAACGTTCCACACTGAAGTTCCACACTGAAGTCAAGTGAATAAAAGAGAGGAAAAGAAACAAGAAATAGGCCTCATGTAAAGTTTTACAGCAGCACAATTTTCTAACACAATTTAAAAGCGAGACGGATCAGGTTTCCTTCTCTGGCGCAGGGGAGGTCTGTGTCACACCCCCCTCCCTTCAGGGGATACGAGGGGTGAAGCAGCTAGTGAAAATCCAGTTGCAAGCGCGCAGCAAGGTTGGAGCAGGGCCCTGACACATTCCCCACACCTGGCCCTCACTGAGGTTCTCGGCTGCAGACTGGGTAAGAGCAGCCGGCCGAGCTGTCTTCACCCACCGCGAACACCAGCCAGTCATCGTCTTCAAAAGTAAGCATAAAGTGAGAAAATTAAGAGTTCTTACAGAGCCATATTTGATTAAAAACCAAACCAAATGGCAAGAGATAAAGCCAACTCAGATATTAAATCGTTGATGAGATTATCGCTGACACGTGTCAACAATCCGCATAACAGCATTCACTTAAACTTTCTTTTCATGAGAAACTGCAGTTTTAACCCTAATTTTTAAGAAATTGTCAAAAATAAAAAAAGCCAACAATACAGCCAGAGTTCAGTATAACCAGAGTCTTTCACTCGAACTGAAAGAATAAAATTATTTAAAGATAACACATACAGCAACAAGAGACAAGGGAGTCACATGAAAGAGGAAATATAGTGTCTTTTAAAAATTACATATGTTATACCAAGACACGATTTATCTTGAAAATAAAGCATAGCATTTCCAGCACTACAGATTCTGTGTTTTTTAACTATCTATTGCAACCTTGGTTATGCACAGAGTCCTTCATGATTCTTCCACAGAGCGTACTGAATATTTTTTATGATTGAAATCTATTCATTAGCAAGCATCTTATCAGGTACACTCCAACAAATTCAATACAAAATTCTTCTGTGATGCAGCTCACCCCAAAACTGCTACCTTTTGGTCAGAAGCTCACATTATTTCTTAAAGAGCTAAGCAGATTCTGACAATCACCACTACGCGGATGGCACCAACAGTTTATTATTGCATTCGTTTGTCTAAGACTGAAGTGCTCTGGACTTTGGAACGACCGCCATCTAACAGCGAAGGCAAAAAGCCACCGCTACAGCTTTTCTGACCACTTGTTAGTCCCTATATATAAAGGCAGATACTTTCTTTTGGCGACATCCACAAAGAACTCTATATAGTCAGCTTTACACCTCGCACAAAAAAATAAAAGCTCAAAAATGTTGCAACTGTTAACTAAGGCTAATCTGACAGTGAAAAACCAGAGGCTTGGCGCGCGTATCTCTTAGCCTACTATCATGCAACACAGGTGACCCAAACATCGCTTCCAATGCAAGGAACGCGCAGAACTCAGCATCCCAGGCAAGCTGTAAACACTAACGCTGCTTCACTAAACGATCAGAGCATCCAAGATGCTTATAAACACAGACCGCAAATACAATCACAAAACTATTAACATCTCCCAGACGGAGAAGATGCTAAAAGACTGGAATAGCTTGGTACTTTCTTGCACTTCAGCTCTTTTTCTAGTCGCCTAAAGTCTTCCCTCCTCTCCCTCGGAACCAGCTACCACGCAGGCAAATCCCGCAGGTGTTTTCGCAGCCCCCCAGCATCTGGGAGCTGAGCGAGCGTGCCAAGCACAGAGGAGCGGCAGGAGCGCTGCCTTCCCCGGCGAGACTCAGAGACCTTCCCGGGAGCCCTGCGGTACCGCGTCCTCTGTGACCCGGCTTTCCGGCTCAAGGACTTTTCGGGGAGCACCACCGCCGCGGCGAGGCGA